TATATATATATATATATATATATATATAAAATCAGTATACCCCTTTTATCTGTGGCTCCAACAGGGTTATAACACACCAGTGATTTGGCTATGGCTGAACAATGCTTGGACAGTATCAAGGCTTTTTATTTTTTTCCCTCTTTGCTCTGCCCCCCCTTGCAACCAGCAGGATGAGGATGGGCATGGCTAGGAAGTTCAGAGGGGAGATGGCCAGAACAGCTGACGCAAACTAGGCAAAGAGGTATTTCAGGCCATATATTGTCTAGCTCAGATATAAAAACAGGTAGAGGAAGAAGTGAGAGGATGTCCTCCGACCATTGCTTGGAATCTGGTTGCATATAGGTCTTCTTGTGGGAGGTGGTAAGTGACTGCCTTTGCAGCAGCAGGTTTTCTTCCCCTCTTTCTTTCACTTACTAAACTGTCAGTGCCTTGACCAACAAGTCTTCCCACCTTTGTCCTTCCTATTCTTTCCCTCATCCTGCTAGGAAGGATGGTCGTGAGCAAGTGGCTCTCTGGGTCCTTAGCTGCTGGTTGGGGGTCATCTGACCACAATCTTTTTCATCAACAAACTGAGATTACTTATTTAATTTTCGTCTTTCATAACACCTCCATCTACAAAGGAACTTACCTAAAATCTTGTTGATAAACTGAGGTCTCCTTGATGCAGGTAAATAGACTCCCAAGAAAAAGACTGGAATTCCAGATAAAGCAATGGCAATTCCAATCAATGAATTTATAGTATCACTATAGAGTGGCACCACCACCAGAAATACTGTGCATATACAGAATATTATTGGGAAAGCCACACTCAGCTGGAGAGAGAAAAACAGAACAGAATGTTATTAAAATATTTGTGGTCTGCAGTTACAAGAATTTTGGTGACAGTTACAGACTTTTCCCCCTCCACCCTACTTTGTGAAACTACCTGCTCTTCCTCTTTATATCTGGCTATGTGGAACCATAAGCAAACAGCAGAATTATTCTTGAACAGAATTGCTGCTAAAAACTGCAGAAGTAATCAAGTACGGTAACTGTCGTGTTGACAGAAACTGTATAGCAGCACAAAGTGGTGTTAGATAAATCCAATAATGCTCGGGAAACAAGAATGACTTTTTCATGCAGAGTATCAAGTTAAACTATGAGAAGCTGATAAGAGGATCAGATATTGAACTGAAACACAGTCAGAACTAAATGTGTTCCGCATTGACAGAATTAATTAACTTCAGCATTTCTAATCAGAGATTACTAATCCAAGAAAAAAGGCTAACTACTATGTCAACCTTTTGAGACATTCTCCAGTTGGCAAGAGAGAAGGGCTACTGATTGAACTAATGGTTAATAAAAGAGTACACTATTACAACAATTACTTATTCTTATCTAGCAGACAAGCTAGTTTTCACAGCACAATATAAAATGGAAGTAATGTTTTTTGTCTTGTTCAATTTGTAATCTTTAGACATAACACGTTTGGTCCAGATTTTAGATGTACTTTTACATTATGTGAAAGACAGGTATTTTAAACAGCTCTGTAATAAATGAATACTACCTTAAGAGGCCTGGGTCGATCTGGTTCCTTCCAACGTAGATATAATTGCCCAGCAATAGACAGACCAACAAAAAACCAGTAACTGAAACTGAAGTAATTAATAAGCTTGAAGACATCTTCCACAGCCAGGTAAATAAGGGTCATGGCACACTGTCAGGAAAGAACACGAGTAAGCTGAACAACAGAAGTTTGAAACTTATTGTTTATGCTGCTTTTTGCCTTAAAATACCATCTTACACTCTTTGGTGCTGGCACAATTTTATGCCTCAAAAATCACTTTCTCAGAAATCACCTTGACGACAGTACATCTGAAGTTCTCTCTTGTGATTTTTTTTTTTGAAGTTTTCTTTTAAATAGTTCCTATAGTCACATCTAACAACTGAGAAAAAAAGCAACAGTAACTTACATTGAAGAGCAGTGCTGGCACAGGTGTGAACCTGCCTATGTGGATCATAGACAACAGATCAGGAAGGTGACCTTCTCGAGATCCTACAAAAAACAGCCTGAAAAAAAATCCCAAAACAGAAAACAGATGTTGACACCACAGATGAGAGACAATGTACTGCAGAAAATCAAAGGACAATACCAGTCAAAATAATTTATTAAATAATAATGAATATTATCAACTGAAAATTGTTCCGTATTCACTACTTCACCAGATCATGTTCATATTGTTCTCAGTACAGAGGCATTGCACATAGATTCAATGGACAGGAAGGATCTTAAAATGCCTGAATTAATATATTTAAAGCTCTCATTAGTCACATCCATAATCACTGCTCAGAGGCAAGGTTCTGTACTGTATCATAAGCTTTTGGCTGTAGCTTAATAGCAGTAGCAACTTTTAAAAACCTTTTAATTGAAAAAACGTTTAAAAGTAAATTTTAAGTAAATACATTTGAAAACAAGAACTTGCAGGAATTACTGTATAAAGTAAAATGGAGGAGAGCTCAATCCAAAGCATCAGAAGGCCTGAAGACTTACCACACAGACAACATTCATTTGATCTTTAATTGTACTCTACATACACCCAGGAGCGTGTTGGGGAAGTAAGGCAGTGTTATGGGTATATGTACACATGCACAGAGGTTTATTTAGGTCTGTTATTTTATTGTGGCTGTTTGTTATAGTTTCAGTTACAAAACTATTTTTGCCACTTTCATAAGCAGATGAGCGTAACAGTAACATATAAAAACACTTTTGAACGTTTGTGAAACAGGAAGAGGTATGAACTACCTTGATGATGCTAAAATTGAAGCATTAAGTCCACCAAAACAAGAAAAGGCTACAGCAATGGGAATTGTCCAGCTGAAGATACCAAATACCTGGTCGGCAAATGTCTGATGAAAGGGAAAAGAAAAAGGAAACATGAAAATATCTGCAACAAAGCATACATAAAATAATGACATCAGAGCTTTTGCAGTAAGTGTGTATGGAAAAATAGTATTATTGTAAGGACAATGCATAACGCGCTACAAAGAAGCACACAGCTTATTTATGGATTCTAAATAAGCACAAACTTCCTTAGCCAACCACCTGAACTCACACTTTCTGCTCACAAAGGAAAATAAAATGTTTTTAGAATTTTCTCACCAAACCTAGTATGTTTTATATCTAACTGAACTACACATCTCAAGTGGAACATAGTGACTACAGAGAATAAAGGACAAAAATATTACATATTCAAAAAGGGTAGTGCCACATTGCAGATTATAAACATAGCCACCATCACACCTACTGTTTATTCCTGATGTAGATTCTATACTGTAGATTCCTAGATTTTAGGCATCTATTTTATTTTCCTTCTTTCTCAATTTCCTAAGCAACATCTTTTCCTTTAGCTCCACCAGCAGAGCCTCTGGGCTCTGTTTCACAACATGGCAAATGACAAAACAGGTATCGGAGTAGCAGTCATCTGTTAGTGTTGCTTGACAACACTGCAGGCCAACTGCAGTGACCTTCTGACACAGAGCTCTGAAACCACAAAGCCAGAAGCATCAAAGTTTCACAGCAAGTGGTAGGAGTCATTGATTACCAGTGACCTGGGACCTATAATGAAAATGGGTAATAATTTGCAAGATATTGTCCTGGTCAATTCTGTTCAGCCTCCTGGGTGGAGAAAAAAGGGAGAGAGACTTAGAATATCAGACAAAATGTTTGAAAAAAATCAAGAAATTTAACACATGAAGACTGGCAGCTATTCCAAAACCCATCTTAGTCTGAGCATTGTACGTATCTGAACATGTTTGGAGTTAAGCAGAAATCCACCCATGCTGTGTCCAAAAAATGTAGGTGGAAGCCTTCCTATCCAATTCTACCTACTGATAGCTAAATTACTTCCATGATTTCTTTTACAGAAGCGAAGTAACAGTCATGGTACCAAAAGGATTATGTCTACACTAGACAGCATAACTATTTATAGAAACAGAAAAGTATATACTCATGTATAAACAATATTCAAACAAACCCCAAAGTTTCTGTGGGTATGAGAACATTTTACACCCCAGCAGGTAGTAGTAATCTAATCTTTTTTATGAACGTTCTCTAATCACTTTCTTAGCTCTCTTACTTTATCAGTTTCAAGATCCTCAGACATAAAAAGTATATATTCTAGTTCAGCCTTCTGCAGGCCTGTCTTTTCTATTACAAAAATTTTGTTTAGTTTTTAATGTTTTTGTGTTTCAAAACACCTCCCCCTTGACCTCCCCTTTAAACTACTGGTCTTCATTGTAAGATTTATGAACTGAGGAGTTCAGTCAAAATGGATTAACATCCAGAACTGACTTCTGTTTGTATCATATAAAGTTTTCTGGATTTAACAGTGGTCAGATTTTTATTTCATTACTCCAGAAACATGATCACCAACAGCAGTGCATTATTATCTGTTTCCTGAATGTTTCTGTAGGTCAAAAAAGGCAAAATGGCTTAATAAAGTGGGGTGATTTTTTTGGTGAAATGAGTGACTGCTTTTCATGAGGCAACACCCTTCATATAATATCAACCTTTAAACCATAAATTGCAGAAGAATTTACTGACATAAAACAAAGCTTGGCCAGCTAGTTTCCTGTTCTTTATCTGGGTTGACAAAGTGCTTTGTTCAGCACATTATCCAGGCTAAGGTTCAGAATCCAACTCTGCTTAGCTATATACCATCATCTACACTAAAAAGCAAAACTTGTTCCATCTTTTTGTGTGGATCAGCAAAGGCAAATAGGATTTCCTGCTGCTAAAGGACAACGTAAAAGCATATAATTACTTCAGTGGAAACCCCACCAAAGGTTCATTGGAACATCAAGTTAGCAAGAAAATGCCATAAGAAATGTGTTCTGTATACCATGAATTATCCATTCTCGGTCAATTGGAACTGAACAAGCAAATCATAAATTTACATTATTGTATATAAAAGATTTCTGCTGCTCAAGAATAAGTAATTACTAGAACCCACAGTGATTCTTTCACATCCTTGTTGGATCTAAACACAGCTCTGAGAAACCCAGTCTCCCAAAGCAGAATGTAATTCATAATGATCCAGTGAATGAATTAAGACAACTTCTACAAAACAAGAATGAGGACAAGATGAAAATTTTAACAGGCAGTTGCTGTAATACTTTAAAGGATTATTTAAACCTGGACTGCTGATTTCCAAAGTCAAATAGCAAGTGAAATTACTAGATGCCAAACTTCAAACTTCCAGAGCTTTTTTTTTTTTAAATATACAAAGCTAAGATGCAGAACTCACTCAACAAGATGTTAGAGAATTAAGATGTTAGTAAGGTTGTCTAAAGGATAAGCATTTAGATAAGTAATATTAACAGCAAAAGTTAAAGAAGAGAGAGAAAATGTATGAATGTAATCTTATGCTGCACGATGCAAATTAGCTAGTATGTCATTTGGAGAGTTTTTTTCTCCTAAAAGGCAGGTTGGTGTTTTCTTTGCAACCATTTCCCATCTCCTTCTGAAACATCCAGTAACAGGCCACTGTAGAATGCCAGATGTGGGACTAACTCAAAGGCCACTTCCATGCTGTAATGCATACCTAATCTTTCTAAGATATACTAATACTGTTACACACATCCTGGAAAGCAGCAATCACTTGTATGAGATGTTAAAACCACAAAGAGTTAAGACAAAGCTATGGTATCACTGCCAGAAATTGTACACAGATCAAGATGTTGTAGATTCAGTGTATTCTGAATGCAAGCTATATGATGTGTAACAACTGTTAATCCAGCTGAAAGTCTAAATAATTAATTTCCCTCGACCTGCACAAATCAGATGTCTCAAAAGACAGAATAACCTAGTGACAGCCTTTACCAAACACTCATTTCCAATGTACTTTCTAACACTGTGGTTTGGCTACCTGAGAGAGCAAGGGGTGGAGCATTAACTTCAAGAGCTTAACTTTTCCCTAATTAGGTAATACAAAAGAGTATTTTAATTGAGAATGTTCTAAAGAGTTCAGCTTGGTTTGCCAAGTAGATCTGCCTGCAAAATGGTTTTTCAGCAAAACAAAGTCCAAAGGTACTTAAGTTTTGCTAAACTTTTTAGTGATACTAACTAACCTGACATGACAAGTATAGACCCACCTGCCTTTGTGCAGGTGTTTTCTGACACAGTTTTACCCTCACATCTAACATAAAAATCAGCCAAGTTCATGTATTACTACTCAGACAACACACTTTTGTACTTCGGAGTACACATTTATAAATCCTTCAACACTCCCATTTTAACAGATACCAAGGAATATCTTCTCCAGATCTGAGCTATACCCTCTTGTGAACAACGACAAAACCAAAGATCTCTACAGTGTTTCTTGCAGGAAGCATTACTGAAGCGCAAGTAGAATTGGTCACAATAAGCATTCAGCTGTGTCACTGTGTCAGAAGGTTATTCTGAATAAGAAGGAATGGCAGAGAAAAGTACAATAAGCAAATTATCAAGCACATATACCACGTGCACTGTACCAAGAGGGAAAAAAAGGATGAGGGAGAAGAGTTAGTGGCTGCTTTCTGCTAAAACCGGAATTGTACAATCATGGATCCGCCACAAATGAGATAGACCTGGGCTCTGAACTGAGCACCTGACCAATTCCACTTTAACTACCACTACTTCTGGGAGTAGTGCATTTATAAAAACAAATGAGCTGGCAACAGGGAGAAGCCTGGAGCATTTGCAAGGGTGTGCAGAGGATGACAGAGGAGCCTACCTGGAGGCAGCTATAGCAGAAGTATTTAGTCCACCATAACAGGAGAAAGCCACCACTATGGGGATGGATTTCTTCTCAGGTTTCTTCTGAGAAAGTCTAAAGAGCAAGAAGGATTAAGAGATTAAATTGTCATCTCTGCTACAGTCTGACAAGTCCTGTAGTCCAGATCTGAACTATAACTGCTTCTAACAGCTCGGAAACAGTGAATTCAGTGGCTGATACAGCACCTGCAATTACAGATAAAGACCTTTTATGCCCTCCCATCCACTGAACATGTAAGATATACATATATACATGCACACTGCAGAAAGACATGCACCTGGAATTGCTCCCCTTAGTTCTGATTGGGGTTTTTTTTCCCCAAACCATCAACAGGGAATAATAATGAAGGAAGAAGCTTCCAGCTGTGCATTTCTCCACTGAACTGCCCTTATTTCATCATGACTAAAATGTTACATTACTCCCAGAAGAATGGTCAAAACTGAATTACAGCTTTGTTTCAAGACATGAATGACTGATTTAACATTTTATTTTTATCTTGGGTTAGTTTGATCTCATGATCATCTGCTGGTAAGTTGTGACTGGTTTGCAAGAACACTTTTTTGTCCTTTTAAAGGCCCAAACAACTGTTCTATACAAACAGGTTAAACTAAAAGCAGTAGGAATTGCCCTGCATAAAGAGCTGCCACAACAAAATACAAAGGATACTGCCTCACACCAGCAATTCAGGCACAGAGATGATTAGAAAGACCCACATTTATGTTATGAATCACAAAATGAAAACCATTTCATCACACATAGGTGCACACAGAAAGTGCTCTTAGAGGCACACAAAAACTATCAGACTACACTGAGAGGATATCGAGCTGTGAGCACACACTAAGCTGGCAAAGCGCTAAACAGTATGGATCAGGTGGATAAATGCAAAGAGAATGTAGTCTAACATGAATAAGAAACTTACAGAAAACTATACCCAAAGATTATGAGATGTTTCTATTAGAAAGGCTTAAAAGGCATCCACAGAGCCTCTTTATGTAGCTCATTTGAAGATCCTATCACACATGTGATCTTTCCCAGGCTCGGTTCTGTAATACTCTGAAGGACCAAGGCCTGAACAATAGGCCTGGAACTAAAGTTGACCTCTAGATGAACCCCACACCCCAACAATGTATATATCTAAAATGCACAGTATTAATCATATATGCAATGTATTATCTATCTATTTTAGCATGAATATGCCGATCTATGAAAGCTTTGCTGTAATGCTTATTGTGTAATAATAAACAGCAGAACAATCCTTTATTTAGAGACATATTGCAAGGCCGTTAAATCAGGTGTCTGACCTTGTTGAGAAAATAGATAGAGATACTGCCTTGTTAAGAAATATGTGGTCAAAGCTGAAATAGATAGAGATACTCCCTTGGGCTCCTCATTAAGCCCTGGCCAGGCTTTGGGTGGAATCCAGCAGGGAGGGTGTTTCCGCACTTGAAGTTTTGCCAATGATTATTCAACTATATAAAAGCTGGACCCTCTTGCAGCGACTTTGGAGACCCCACCTACAAGCAGACACGCTACACAGGACCTCTCAATTGCCAGGACAGGTTCTCCAAATTCTCACTGCAACCAGGGCTCCCCAGTGACTGTGGATCCGGATGACAATAAGGGCAACTGGTGATATATCTTTCTTAATCACTATAATTAACCTTGTGTAGTAATGATTAGGTGCATTACCCTGCTTATTTGCTTTGATGCTTAAAACTAGAGTATAATAAGCTTACTGTTTTAGCTAAATGCATTACTTTATTTCTCTATTACCTTGACATAGACAGTAAAATAAGCCTCCTCTTTTGTCGGTGTCAAGCATCCTTTCTGTTGACCCCAGCAACTGGTAAAACATACTTTTGCCCTGAAAGCTATACAGAGCAGTGAACATCTATAAGCAATCTGACTAGTAACTTCAAAGTGCAATGAATTCTGATTTGACTTTTCTCTTGAGGCAGAGTATAAATACATTCCCACATAACAGTATGATTTGGCAGTAAAAACTACAGTCTGTTTTCTCAATTTCTAGCTTCTCAGGCCTTTAAGGAGCTACTTCCTAAAGGAAACAAAGCAGCTCTGATTTATGGCAATCAGGAAGTCACACATGCAAAAAAGCCACTGAGTAGGTGAAGTTTCTTTCTGCTGCCATAATTACATTTGTCAAGATACTGTATGACATCCGTTCAGTTTCACCAAATTAGATTTAACATCATATATATTAAAGAAAGTAAGGAGGAGTGCACATCAACTGAAACAGAGTCAGAAGGTTGTAAAGGTGCAAAAGAAAGCAATTTAAATGTTCAGGTTTCCTGTAACTTTTGTTTGGAGCACCATTCTGTTGATTGATTCTACTCAGACATAATAGCCTCATTGTATTATTGGCAATGCCTTTTCTTGAAGAAAAAAGTATCAGTGCAGTGCAAGGTCCAGCATGAAATTCTCTCTTCATCTTGAGGTCACTCAATAAAATCCTATGGTTCTTACTGAAAACAGTACCATTTTACTCCGTTAATATACTGCATGCCCACTGCATGTAACATGTCTCTTCTGTATGGCCCACATTAAGATTACAGATGCCAGCTCCAACGTTAAAAGTTTCTTTTATGTCTCCATGGAGGTGCTGAAGATCTAAACCTTTTCAGGTGTTCATGCTGTTCATAGCATTTTCAATAGCTAGCTGTAGAATAAGAGTTCAGTCCAAAGTCTCTTATCTTTCTCATAATGAAGATATTATGTAGCACTTCTTTTGAGTTCTAGCTCAGGTTTTCAGCTTGGCCTCCAAAGCCAGAGAACTTAACCTAAGGGGCAATAGAAGAGCTAGCTCCAAGAAAACAAGCAAATGACTTACTGACCAGCTATCATCTAAATGCAACTGCCTGGCCAAATCAAGAGTTCTTCTATGACAAGGTTTAGAATGTGTATTGCATCCAAAGGAACCTTACTGGGAGGTGTCAGTGTGAGCAAACAAGGGGAAAACGACACTAACAGCCAAAGAGAACCAGATTTTTCTCTTCAGAAAAGAAACCAGTGACTGCCCAAATGAAGGAAGATAAGTAATACCCAAAAGGTCTACAAGTAACTTCAGAAATTCTGGCTGAATTCAGTTAGAAGAAAGACACTCATCATTTGTTAAACCATAAGCCAAAGGAGAATAAAACAGCTAAAACACAGCCTCCCACATTCCTCGTTTACTGAGAAAGAGGGCATGTTGAAGCAAAGCAAGTCTGCTTTCCAATATGAGCACACCAGGGTAAATTGGATTGATTAGGTGGTACTCAAAGATGCACTGAAGTAGTCACCTTTTTCCCAAATCCCCCAACAAAGCTGTACAGCTCCAAGAAAGATAACAGCCAGTTATGCAGGACAACTGTTTGCTTCAACCAGGAATCATTTTTATATTTTCCAAGTAAAAGACCTTCCCTTCTAGAACAGGCTAAATTGGAAGATGAACTTCAAGAGCATGCCTATGGCATTCCTCTACTGCTATGCAACTACACATAAGCATTCAGTGCACAGGACCTCACTAGAGGTAATGCAAAGGAAAATACTGCTGAAGTATGCGTAGTGCATGTGTCAGATCCCAAGTGTCAACTGTTCTGCTCTACAGACATCCTGTCAGAAGTCCAAACTACTTGCTAATGTATTAGTAGATCAAGCTTAAAGTTGGTTTCATTAAACTGGATAATTAAACTCACATCAGCAAAGAAAAGGAATCTTTAATGTGTCATGTGTTAAATATTAAACTTAAGCTGCAATTTCACCTTATCATTCTAAAAGAAATATAAGTAGTGATAATCAGAAGACCATTGTTTGCCAGCCGATGAGACGTCTCAGCAATAATGCCTTTTGATAGAACAGCAGTGCAAGTATTTGGCAATCCTGAGATCTAATGAAAAAGCACAGTTCTAGACTTTCAAAGCCATTCACTTGATTAAGTTCCATTAAAAGGAGCACAAGAAGCAAATCCTCTAATAACTTCAGAAACTGCAAACGTATTTTTTCATTCTTATCCTGGTAGCCCAATATCTCTGCATGTAATTAGATTGACTAAAGACTTTATATCATGCTTAAGTCTTCCTTTTTCCTCCTCAATACCTACATGCGTCCTGTACTAGAGAGGAATACCTGATCTATCCAGTTCTGAGTATTACAATTTCATGTAAAGTTACAGAGCATGTGTCTATACATAAACGTATACACTCAAACAAAATAAATATATACTCACTTTTGGTCAAAATCAACATCAAAGAACAACTAAATGAAGTGTACATAAAATAATAAACATTTAGGTCTGGGTTTCACATGTGTAGTAAGGTTCAGGCATCCAACATCCCTCCTTCATCTGGCCACCAATTGCTGCTGCAGTGCTGCCACTTGCTGTGTACAGTAACATAGACTGTACAGGTCCACAGTGAATCATTCCTCCTATCTCACAGGATGGATCAGTTTTCCTGATCCCATTTGCCATATGGCTGTATAAACCTCTACGATGACAAAGGGCAGGAGCAGTAGGGTAGGCACAAAATACTCTGAGGGGATAGACTGGATAGGAGAATTTCATTGCTGCCAGAAGAGTGTGTTTTCCAAGCCTTTGTTAGCAAAAAGAAATAGCATGTTGCTTTACAGAAGTCAGGATGGACAGTGGACTCTGTACGGGCTTTTAGTTTTGTCTAGATTAATTAATTATAGACAAAAATTAAAATTTCCATTATCAGTCACTGGAAGGTACTTTATATGGGATACTGTAGTCAACAATAGAAATAAATATTCCTGGAGATTTTATTACCCCTTAGCATATGTTTATTCAAAATCAAATATTCTCTGTCCTTGTTTTGCTTTGTTTTCTTCTGAAGTGTTTTAACAAGTTTTTCACAATATATTTTATGACGAGTTTGTATTTCCATATTCTAGCTAAAAAGAGGCAAAGAATTCAAGTTCATTTCAATACATTTTGAAATAAACATCTACATAATTACATTTGAAATAACAAGATATAGCCCATATTTACCATAAGCTATTCTGAAATCTTACATCAGATATAAATATTTCTCAAGTTTGAAAGAAATTCAAGTAAGTGCTTTTTGCAACAAGAGTTTGCTGATTGCTAAGCCAGTTTTTACTCATAATAATACTCCGTGGGAACAGAGTGAATACTTCCTTCATTTTGGTGTATTTAAAACTCTCTGTCCATTGTTTAACTACTTATATTTTAGAAGCCAGTTAGGAATGTAAAACAGAGAAAAGCTATTTTTTTCCCTCCAATTTAAATAACCAGAAGAAGATTACATTTTCCAAGTCTCAACTCTAAAGGACATAGTAATTAGAACTACCCAATTAATTCACCAGCTACAGGGCAATAAAACCCTTCACTTCTGTTTAATGATTAGCTTTAAGTTTAAAAAATGTTTTGACCAGCTTTTACTTTAAGAAGCTTATGTATTTTAATTGGATTCAAATTTCCATCCATATAAAAAATAATGACTCTCTTAATATTAAAAGTTGTTAGAATTAATACATTGTTAGCTAGACAGTGATTTAAGTTAAAAGGAGATAACAAAGCTAAACCTTGTCATAGCTGAGCTGTAACACATCCATGTACAGATATGCATTGCACCAATTATTAGCTCAATTGAATTCAGCTCAGTGCAACTCTTCTGCTTACTGCTCCAACTTCCTAAACACTGCAGCATGAACAAAGAAGACAATTATGTACTAATGAGTCTAACTTACAACCAGCTCAACATGCACAAGTTTAATTAGCATCTTTGCAAAATACACCAACAAGATATATCTGTGCTTGTTTTACTAAATCTGTTAATATATTATTGTTATATGCGATTTCAGTAACTGCTTTTCTATAAAAGATTAAATTATTCATGATGAGTTGTTTTGTCCTCCTGTAATCTAGAGATTTTTCCTGGTTTGTTCCTCAAGATAAAGTGCAAAAAGTGTGTAATATAGCAAAACACCACATGATCAACTTACCACTGCCACAGCATCACTGGAAAGAACAGCTTTAACATCCAGCACTGTATAGTAAGCTATATTGGTCATAATATAGATAACAGTCACAATTGGCATAGACACTGCAATAGCCAGTGGCAGGGTCCTGTAAGATAAAACCAAAACCAAACCCACAACGTAGGGGAAAAAAAAAATCCATTAATAACAAAATAAACTTATTTATTTGCATTCTTTACCTTAGAGATAAAAAAAAATAAAAATTAAAGATTGAATTAAGATTTCAAAATAGGTATCTCTGGCAGAGTTTGGTTTCTTTTAAAACTAGAAATTCTAATATGCAATACTGGGAAAGAAATCTAGTATTTTGCAATAACTTAAAACCTAAATTAAGTCTAAAAAGGGATTCCATGCAATTGCTCTTCAAGGACACTTACCGCAGGGTTTCCGGACCCACAAGAGCCTTCAAATTTACATGCTTTAAATTATTTTCTACTGGCCATGTTAATTACCACAACTAGAACCCAAAGGGCTGAGCTCTGAGTCACTGCATTCATTCTCCCTAGCGAATGCTGCTGTTCTCTAGCATCTACTTCTACAAATGATGCAGGGAAATGAACTAAACCAAACCAAAACCCCAATCTTATCTACACTCACTGCTGAGAACAAACTAACTGGGTGGTGCAACTGCAGAAAACAGAGGTGCAGAGGGCACATCCAAAATTGCTACACTGCTGTGAATCTCAGGATGTGGTGTTCCCTACTAGGAAACACATCTAGAAAGTAACACAAAAGATTAGAGTAACATGAAAATACTGCAAACCTCTAGATCTAAACAGATAAGATTTAATTTAAAGCTGAGATAAACTCACAGCCCTAAGTTTGCAGCGACACAAGGATAAAGTCATCAGAGCAGAAGCAAACTTTTAATTTTAGGTTTTGGCTTTTCTCAGCCTTATTCTTTCCCCAAAGCTCACAAGGATATTCAAATGTCTCAAAAAGGGAAGCAGAACTGAGAGTGTTACTCTCACTTTTGCCCAGTTTGAAATCAAACATGGGATGGTGACATGGATGAGCATTTGCCATGGTTTTCAGTAACAATAAAAAACTAACAAACCAGAAAAATGAAATGCACTTTGGAAGTTTCCTCAAAAATTTCAAGAGGCCCAAAACTCCAGCTGGGTCTGTCTGATGCTGTGGAAGCAGAAAAAACCCCACACACAACAAACCCCCACTTAAATCAGTAAATTAGTAACTGAGAGTTCTGACTTTGCTTCCAGGTTGTACACTCACAGTAAAAGACCTGTGAACCCCAGTGAAGGGAAGAAAAGGAATTAGAAAAGCACTTAGAAATTAACTCAGAAATGTTACATAACGTAACAAAAAGCTGAAATGGCATTTTAAGGACTTTGCATCACCCAAGATTAAAGCCAAGGGCCTCTTTCAAATTTGATTTGTGGGTTTTAACTTTTGACTGGACAAGCATAAGGGTACTATGAATCAAATGAATATGAAAAACATGTAATTCTTGGAGTAATTTTACAGAGGTCTGGAACATCTCATTATTTCGAAGAATTGATAATACAGAAAGCTGAAATTTGAAGTTCACTTTATCAGCTCCAACTCTTACAAGAATGATGTAGGCACTGATGCCTATAAATAGCAGATGTTCTTACCTTCCCCTCTCCCCTGCCTTCTTTTTAATGGTGTTTAATAAATCTTTGCTAGTGGCTGTTCACAGCCTTACTAAGTATAGAGCAGTTCTACTGATTTCTGTGTAAGCTCAGAACAACCACAAAATGAGCCAACTTGGGGGCTATTCAGGTTTAGAAAGCTCAAATCGTTTACCTTTCTGGGTTTTTTATTTCCTCTGTTACAAAATTGAGTGTATCCCAGCCAGAGTAAGAGAACAAGGCAGAGTAGAGTGCAAGGGAAATGTCTCCAACATCAAAAGAGGATCCCTCAAAAGAGTTCTCAAAGTACGATGAATGTCCTGTCGTGTGGAAAAGATGCAGTGAGGTACAGGATAATAAAATACAGCAAGCAATTTTTTTCTTCATTCTGGCACACAAATACAAAAAGCCTTAGAAATACTAATTCCTTCAAAGCTGCTTATTAAACTCTTTTCCCAGTTCTACTCTGTGCTTCAGCTGTGACAATAAGCATGGCATTTGAACTACTAAAAACTATGCTCTGTGGATGATACTGTTCTATAATTAAACGCTTTGTCCACAATGGCACAAAAAGTTCAGGAACATTAAGTACAGACTAAGCTACAAACAACGGGCAATGACTCAGGCTTTATATAATATATATATTTACAATCTACTCTATTCTTCTGCATACTTCTAAATTTTCAATTATTTAGCCTAATCAGAAAACAAATATTACAGTTAATTTTGGGTAACAACAAAAAAAAACCCCAACCAGGAACTAAATGGAATTTTAAGTTTCAGCTATGAAAAACAGAAAACCAAGAGCAATTAACAGAATATAAAATATTATTATTACATAATAAATTTTTCCCAAGCTAAGAGAAAAAGTGCATGGGTCTTTTGCACCAGTATTTGTGAGAACTTATGTCATCTTTTGACTTTAAGCAAGTCAAGACAAACTCATCAATGGCATTTTTTTATATATTCTGACTAATTTAAATATACAGGCACACAGGAACAGAACCACCCAATACAGAAAGGTGAGTTACTATGTAATTCCAAAATGTGCCCTGTACTGTGGATCCTGAAACATTTAGACTTCATCAAAACCAGCCAGGCAAGTATTTCAGGCTTGTAAAATATCTTCACTTATTTCCTCATCAGACATTGCTATTCCCTCAGCACAGACATAGGCAGAGTAACCGGTGAGTTAAAGACAGAGAAGGGAGACAATGTCAAGGAAATTAGCAGTAAACAAGCTCAGTATCTACAGAACAAGGGATGGGCAGATGTGCTAAGGATTAAGCACCCCAGCTCACATGTTCTTGTTCCATTCTGAATAATTATCTTGCTCATGGACTTTCCACAATAACCAGTTAGAGCAAAGGACACAAACTGCCAGGGAAGATCTTTATGGTAGCTTTGAAAGCACGGTAATTTTTTTTAAGCTAACACACCAACAAATTCTCCCTAAAGGAAGGGCTAAGAACAAAACCAAATTCAGAATTCTTCTAACTTGAAGGCTTAATGCCAACAAACACACAAATCAAAAATTAAATAAATTTTAAAAAATCCAAAACCCCAGCAACTTTCTAATTCTCAACAGCTATAACAGATATGAGCAGAAAAAAGAGTTGAGGTTTCACAGACCTACTTGCATGTTCTTACAAATTAATCTTTGCTCTAAGTTAGTCACTTTCAGACTTGCACAGAATTCGTTTGGGGGGAAAAAAATAATTAAAAATCAGTTGATCTCATTGTAAAGCACTATGTTCCTTACAGAAATCTACAGCTTTCTCTGTTCCCACTGTATTTTGCTAGCTCTGTATTTTGCTGTTTTCATTTCCTTTATTATTCTATACTGCAGGCTGTAAATTCCACAACATTGCTGAGCAATCAGTTACCTTCTTTTACCCAGTTCAAAGTCAACTGAGATAGGATAGCTTACCACAGTATAATATCATGATAATGCCTAACACTGGTATTACTGGTGTTTTCAAAGTGGCTGTATTATGCTCTACCAAGGCATTTGAGAACACAGACAGAGGTATTTTACAGTCTTCAGTTACCCAGTTAAACTGATAAATACAAACCTTTGCTTTAATTTTTTAAGCTTACCCTGGCATATTTTAACAAGTCCAGTTATGATGATGACAATAAGAGCAGTAACTTTAGCATAAGTAAATATATCCTGCACCCGTGTTCCCCATTTAACGTAGGCACAATTTATAAATGTTAGAAGACCTGGGAAGGGGGGGAGGAAGGAGGGAAAAAAAAAAAAAAAGAAAGAGAAATGAAAATACTATTTGAACAGTATTTGGTTTAAGTCATTATTCGAAGATTTTAAATTGCAATCTAAATATACACTTACATGTTATACTAAGACTTAGGTTAAAACTCAGCAAAATACATACTGGTACTGAAAACCTACTTTTTATAAACAAAACAGGAGAAAACAGATGTTCTAAACCTAATGTTGCAAAAGATGGAAGGAACGAACTTCCCCTTCTCTGATTATATGCCCAGTTTCTTAACACTACCCCTCATCAGCTGCACTCTGCAACTATCTTGAAGCTAACGAAACCACTAAATGAAATAATTAATTTCAATATATCAATATTGTTTTGATAAATCAAAGATAACCTAGAAATTCATTTAGGCAAACACATCAGAATAGTGTTTAAGAAAGTTTTTATCCTCCCTTGTTAGGCTGAGTTCAACATCCATGGAGTTTTTGCAATACTGAATATGGTCACAAGCAATTCAATAATCTTTTCCAGTTGTATTAAACTGCATTACTAAGTGAGGTTAGAACAGATCTGACCAAATAACACTACAGTTAATGAGATATTACTCTGGATTTTTAAGAACTGGTAGTAAGTAATGAGTATCCTGCGTATATTTCTCCCTCTATCCCAAAATAAATTAGTGTCAAGACCTATTTCACAAGATTGTAATGGAACTTGAAATGAGACTCGTTTCAACAGATTTCGCAAATATTTTAGTAACAGTGGCTGACTAAACTAACTCACATGATCAACTTTCCCAATACACTTTTCAAATTATTGTTTAAATATGTTGCTCTCATGGCTTTTAACATTTTGCTTTTGCATTTATTACTTTTTCCTCTAATGGAGAGCCAGCCAATCTGAACTCAAATGCTCAATATTGAATATTATTCACTATCTTCAGTTTTCTTTACTGAACAAAATACATGGTTTTGTTATCCAGATTATCATTACATTATTCAGTTTTACCAGGAAGTTTAAGTATTACCCCAAATCTCAAGTTTTTCTCTTGCTGGTAAAACAGTGGTTATATTCTACTGTATTTTTTATCTCCAAAGTTTTCTTGTACTACATATTTTAAATATGCATCTAAATGAAAACTAAATTTGACTGTTTAAGGAGTAAGGAAGTAGCAATCAAGAGTAAATGAAAAGATGTAATAAATCATTTCCTTTCCCATAATCCGAGATTAATGCGATACTATTAACATAAAAATGTACTTAGCACAGTCACCAAATAGAAAAGTAATAGTTTCTAAAAGATAACAAAAGAAAGGTAATGATCTCAAAAGCATGGCACTATTATACAAGACAGTCTGGCCAAGCTAACAAGATTCCACTGAGCTTGGCATGATGAGGGGAAAAAACAGTTGCATCAAATTTCAAAAGTCAGGACTGCTGTGGCTGCCAAAGAGCCCTCAGGAAAAAAACAACTCTGCTTGGTCTCTGCTCTTCAGTTTTCCTGATCAGTAATACCTACGGAGTATTTGCTCGCAGGGTTTATTTTAGTGTTTGTTTGTTTGTTTTTAATTAAATGCAGCTTTAAGTAGGAGTAACACGATTAACTCCTTATTTTAGTGAGTTAGGGTTTGGTCTCAGTCTCTACTTCAGATGAAATGCTACTCAGTCTCTGATATCTTCAAAGCAAAAAGATAATTAAGAAACTAAACAAGCCACATCCCCTCCCTCTTTCTTTTATTAAGATTACTCTCTCTTGTTTTCCTCCACTTAATTATTGTTTAGCCACTTACAGTTCCTGAGAACTTTAGTAAACTGTCAAGTTTAGTTCTGTAGCACCAGATGCCACCCCCATTGCCAAAATGAGTGTTATACAGCATTACTTACCAGTAACGCTGATCTCACACCAGATCTTATATTGCTATTGCTACAGTTTAAAAAAAGAACAAAAGGAAACCCCACAACAACACACCAGTTCTCATGTACAGTCTGTAACCTAACCAGTGTTCAGCCTTCCTCTCCCAGCAACTTAATGAATTACTAATCGTATCTAAAGATTTGACACACAAATCCTGTCAGGCCAGGGAGAAGCATGGGCCTTAACAAAACAGCTAAACTAAGTTGTAGAGCAGGAGTGAGTTTCAGCACTGACACCTACAGCAGGGCAGAACAAGCAGTTAAACCATAAAATGGACTGTTAAAGAAAGTTGTTCCACCTGTATGAGAGTAATCTTGCCATCACATGTCTCCACTAAAGAGAAAGGTGCTAAATCCCCTCTCTGAGCAGCAAGTGTAGAGGACATCACATTGTCTTTCTACATCTACACTGGAAATGTAAAATATGCATATAAACACTTTTAATAGGAAATACTTAAAATTAAACAAGACACACACAGTACAATCATCAGTTTCATGCTTTTGATACAGCAGAACAGTCGTGATTTGAAGCAGGTGGACGGTTGTTCCTCTATATTGACTAACAGCTGGCTGGTTAGAAACATATCAACAATGTTTTATGTACACATAAAATGCTGCTTTTCAAAACAGCTTTACAACAGGTACAGTTAATCATGAGCATAAAGAATAATCCTGAATAAATGATCTTTTGAAATCCTACCATAGTATATACCTATCTACATTGATAAGCTATTGTAAAATACTTTACACCAGAATAGCTCAAGAACTATTCTACTCTTAGACCACACCAAGAGTACCTTGAGGTTTGGTTTAATATACCTCTGATGGAAAACAAACTTTTCCCCCCATTTTTGCCATGTAACTAAACTTGGAAGAGTTAAATACCTTGGTCTGCTTCTGAATGAGAAAATTATAATTCACTGACTGAATACCTGCAAGTTATTCATGTGTTGGAAATTCTTCTTTTCCCACTGTAACTCAAACCCTTGCAGATTCAGTATGCAGCAACTCTGAGACTGGGTAGGATTTGCTTTAATAAAAATTAACCCTGGATAAAAAAGTTATCATAGTAAATTTTGGGAAATACTTACATTCACAAGCAGCTGCTATGAGACGGCAAGCCAAGTACGGAGGATCACAAGAAGGGAAGAAAGGTTGGACTATGTAGTTAGCAAAGGTGATGGCAATAATTGCCTGACTAGTTGGTTCAACAATTAGGAGTGAGGTCCACAAACGAATAAAAGCAATGAAGCTCCCAAAAGATTCCAAGATATATGCATAGCTGGCTCCTGACTTCGTAATAGTGGTTCCAAGTTCAGCATAGCAGAGAGCTCCAAAGACTGAAAAAATCCCTCCAATTGCCCAAATTACTAGAGACAATCCATAAGACTTGCTGTAGATGAGAACTCCTTTGGGAGAGACAAAGATACCTGAACCAATCATGTTGCCTACTATAAGGCTTATCCCATTTATCAAAGATATTTCTTTCTTCAGTTGCACTGTATTTTGGTTTCCATCCTGCATTTCACAGCGGTCACTTGGATCTGTCCTGTCTGATTTATTTACTGGGCTGTATTCAGCCAGTGAACTATGCGACTTCGTACAATCTGTCCTTTCTCCCATTCTGGAAAAACCGTGAAATCTCCACGACTCCAAATCACAATCTAAAACAAAACACAGACAGCTGAAATAATTATATTTTTTTTAATCCCAGAAATTTCTTGCCAAGTCTTCTTTACACCTTTTTACCCTACAATTTACAAAGGTTGCTTCATATATGTTCTTATACAATGGTAAATTCATGCACAGCTAAACAGAAAAATCAACACATACAGAGCAAGAGACGAATTCCAGTATAACTTAAGCTCAGAAAGGAACTGATACCTTTAGGAAGAAAACAAAATGAAACAAACCACCCGGACAACCAAAACCATAGGAAGGACAGAATTAAGGGATTCCAATGTTGAAAAGGAAGAAAGAATAGATGGAAGCAAAGAGAGGTGATATAGAAAAGCAAGCACTGTAAGACCAAGCTGGAAGTTCTAAGCATGAACAGAGATTTACTGTAGTACTAAAAGATGAATCAAATTATTGTACTTACACATGTAAGCTATGAGTGATCTAGTAACAAGGTTGTGCATGTTATTAACGCAGTTTGGGCTCCCACTAAGGGCAATGTGAAGAGATACTTACACTAGAATCCCCCTGATTTGACTCTTGACTTATAACTGATTCTGTAGTTCACTCCCTCCCCAAAACTGTTCCCAGTTCCCACTGCCTCATTTCTTGGAGTTATCTAAGAGTGCAGGCTGCATGTGAGAACCCCCCACAGTAGTTAAATCCAAATTCCTCCATTAGCAACTGTATTTAACAGTTTTCAAGAACACAGAAATTAAATAAACTTTTTCCTCTGCTTCAGAATTGACCATTTAGAAAAGAGCCAGGAAATTGTCCCATGCCTTTCAAAAGCAAGTTAACTTAGTGATATTTATTAGCACAAAAATATACTGACACTTCGCTGCAATTCTGAAAAAGGCCCATTTTATGTAAGTTCAAGTAAGAAATAACCAATTCAAGAAACAGACTTGTATGGGAAGCAGCTTAAATTGCAGATGTACCTTTGCTTACTATGAGGTGCATAAATAACAGGTCCAACATAATCACCAGGATGCAGTACCAGTCATTTGCCCTGCCCCTCACTAAACCCTCAGTGAATTCTTCAGCCATTTACTATAGACAGAAAAGGTAAGAAGTCTGGGTCAGTTAGAACAAAGCAGCTGATGGGGGGGGGGGGGGGGGGGAGGGGAAGGAAAAAAAGACAAGTTTCTGCAGCTTTTTTGGGTAGCACTAATTTTACAAAAGGTTTTGTTATTCCAACAATAAACTTAACAACTAAGGGAACAACAGCCCTGAGTATGGGGACTTTGAAAGGTCAGTATAGAATCACCCAAACTACAGATGTATCGATGCATCCACTAATATATAACATACAAGGTTTTGCTCATGCAGTTAGAGGCACTCCTTTCTGCAGGGAAATCTTAGTAATCCTAAGTTTCCTTTACCATAAAGCAACACCTATAGTGCAGTACAGAAAATCTGACCTGACATGCCTGAACCTTTGAAGATATGAAAATGATAAAATTATTTTTGACCTATAAAAAAGTAACTTACATGAAAACTTACACATCATTTACTGAAACACATGACATCATTCATTTCCAACTCATGAATCTTCTAGCTTTTTCCACATTAAAATGGAGGCTGTGTTCTATTAAATGTAAAATAAGATCCTCAGTCTGTTTAGTGGGATGCTTTTCTTTCCCTCAGAATTTCAAAAGAGCAGGTTGATTACTAAATACATATTTTATCTCTTGTACATGAGTCAACATCTTATCTAGCATCATACATAAAAGCAAGCAAATTTCACACTTTTAATTAGACTAAAAATTTTCAAACTTCCAGAAACTAAAATCTGCTATTTCAGAACTTAAAAACTTTAGTGTTATTATGAAGCACCTCTGACAAAATTAACCTAGTTAGGGGAGAGGGATCCACAGAGTTTTTACAGATCACTGTGCTCAAAACTGCAGTGGAAGACAAAAGCAAATTCATCTCACCAGTTGCTACCGGTTCTCCTTGTTATTAACTCTTACATCTATCTTGTGCCAAATTCATTTGCAACAACATACTGCTTGATTTCCTGTTATTGGTATATTAAAGCTAAGTCTACAAAAAGGCATGTGGCTTGTGAGCGTGTAAGATTATTTGGTTTGCTTTATAAGAGAAAGTTCAGTTATTACTGTGTAACTGAATTATTATAATTGCAAAATATGATGCAGTCATGAGAAAGCATACATGTGTAAAACCACAGGACAACTAATCAAAGCAGATGTCTTCATGACTAATTTGACTGAAAGAAGCGGATGTAAAGAACACTTGTGACCCATGAATTAAACTCCAAATTGAGTCTTCTCATTTCTATTTTGACTCGGACAGGACATTATTTGCACATGTATTTCAAAAGGCAAATCAGTCTGAACAAATGTCAGCAGAAAAAAAAACAAGAATATTTCAGCAATTATTATGACACCTGACTGGCCGTTTGAAAACATGCCATGAACATTCTGAGCCCTTTCAGCTAAAGGATAAAACTGAGTAATACGTTAAGAATTGACTCATGTATGTAAAACATCATTTTGGTGATATCTATACAGCTTTACAATTTCTTACTCCACAAAGCCTAATCATCATTCCCATTTGTCATGGTTTCATCTGAGATGGAGTTAATTTTCTCCTGAGTGGTACTTATTTGCCAGTCGGTGTCAAACCACAACACCATTTCTTCCTACAACACTTCTCAAAGAATGACTTGTTCAGAAGCATAAACATTATTACTTTGAATACTCAGACATTTTGATGATTTGATTCAAATCAACTGGATCATTCAAATCAATCAAATCTTATGTGTTCACACACAGGCAGTTTTGCACTAAGAGTCAACATGATTTACCTCATGGTCTGAAGTTCAGACATACATTTAATTACCTATAGCTACAGACTCTCACTGTTCAAATGCTTCCACTTGTTACCAGTGCATGACTGCAGTTCTGTACAGTTTTGTTACTGATGACTTTGAATGCTTCTTGCCCTACTCTACCCAGAAAAAAACAACCACAGTATTGCTCAACCTAGATTGTTTTGTCTCCCAATGTTCTTTCTTCCTCTCTGACTCTGCTTTTGTTTTTCCAAAGCTCAGGGATCTGCCGATAACTAAGATTTGCATGAAGGTGTGTGCAACAGCTCACTCAAGATTTGGCATTTCATTCTCTTCTCTAACTTTGTTTGTTTTACGTCATTAAAGCCTTCAGGGCAGGAATTGCTTATTTGCCCAAGCTGCGTGTCTTACCACACCACCTCTATGACAGAAACAAAACTATTGGCAGGTCTTTTCCTACAAACACTTCTTTTAGTCTTAACTGGAACTAAAGTCAGCAGCTCTGACCAACTGGAAAAACAAAAAAAAAACAAAACAAACCACCACCCCCCCAAAAAAAAAACCAAAAAAAAAAAACAACAGCAACAAAAAACCCACCAACAAAGGAAAAGAGAGAGACGAGACCAGAGAAAACAGAAGCTATGTCAAGATTAGCAACATAGGCAATATAGAAGGAAAAAACATATATTGAAACACACGATTCAGACAGAATGTCTTTTGGAAACACAAAAGAGGCTTGGCAGAGAAGAACCAGAGACAAACAGCATATATTTTCTAACATACAACAATCCTTTAATACTGCAGCTAATATAGAAGGATTTATAATGTCAAAGCCTTGCCACAGGACTGCTATGGCTAATGCAGGCTTATGCCTTCACATACCCTAACACATGGATTTCCTCATTTTTCACCCTTGTGCAATACAAGTCTTAAACTTTTTTTTGCTGATCATTGCAGCTGTGAGGAATCTTTTTGCTGTTACATGTAAGATATTTTACTGAAATTACACTGCTGTTGATATAGAAAGCTTTGATAGGAAATCAGGACAGTGACCTGAAACTAGGATCACTTCATTGTCTCACTAAAAATATACATTCTGATAAGGCCTATCACACTTTGCCCATGTACCAAACGAGCTAATAAAGATTAATGTGGAGTTAGCAAAGTACTAACACTGTGGTTACAGGGTTGTTCTCCTCCAAGAGAGGAGGAAGAGGAACCATCTGCCAAGATCCCCTCTCTCCCACTGACCAGGACAGCAGCTGACCTGTCATTTGTTCAACTTGGGCTAAACCTGCAAATGGGTTAATGACCAATAAGAACTACCAAACTGCTAAAAGCTTACGATGTTTCATTGTACTCTTACAGTACCTGCTAATTAGGCAAGATTTCCAGTGTTCTTGCCTATTGTCTTAGGCAGTGGTCTTGCACAAAACACCTTCTGTAACACAGTGCTACATACATACTTTGACTCATATTCACATATACCAGCTGTAAAACTCCTATTTTGAACACAAACATTGGCCCTTTGGGTAAGAGTCAAGATTGCCCTTCACAGGCAAACAGCATGAAAGTCTTCAGGAAGTTAAGCACCAACAGAGCAAAGGTTGTAAGTCCCAGAAATGCCTATTCCTTTCAGTGTACATATTTAGGCACCTAACAGTCTGAACACTGAAGTGTGAAAGGTTTAGAGTTTGCCTAGTCTGTGTTTTTCTTGTTTCTGGTGAGACAAGAATCACTTCCCCACTATACATACAGTTAGCAGACAGGAAGCCCTTCCAACAAAAGCAATTCCCAATGTAAAGATCTAATCTGTTCAACCAAGTCTTTTGTGCTCGCAGCTATCTTTAGAGCTACAAAAACCAAACTGATAAAATAGAATTGGTTATAACATCAATTCTTTTCTTTTTTAAAAGACAAGGTATGTTTCTTATGTAAAAAGGTATGAGCTGTGACATAGCTGCACAAGAGACATTCAGCAAATGCACATACTAGCCACATATTTGGACAAACCCTAAATAAATCTATGAACATTCAGTGAGGGAAAGACCTCACAAACAGATATTCAGCTACAATGTCTCAGAAACTTTCAAAATTTCCTAAAGTACCAAACCTAGACAAATCCACCTCAGTAATATTAACCTAGATATTAAACCAAGCCAT